ACATAACTTTATGGGCCTTTCTGTTTAGTTTTCCCAGAAATAATGTAGAAGAGTTTTGCCATTTTCTGGGTTTTTTGTTAACTTCCCAGTATATTCCACTCCATATATTCTGGTAACTTTGTTTGGGATCAGAGACTAAGCAGGATGGCTTGAATGTGGCAAATAAGCCAACTTATTGGGGTGGGGGGGAGATTTAGCAGTAATTGTCAATATGTGCAATTTCTGATTTTGATTTTCTACCTAAAATATGAGAGACTTGAACCTATGTCCGCCTGTTTTAGTTCAACCCACTGCACACTACAACTCAGCCTAATTTTTCATGGACTTCAGCCCAGGTTCTAAACCAGGATTTTCCAGAGTAGTCAATATTGACCTCCAATGGTCAACGGGACTATCCACTGTTGTTGCTATAGAACAACAAACTTAGCATAATGCTATTAAAGTAGCATTAAATTACAAGTAAAGGAAGGAAGAAAAGAAAAAGAGAGAGAAAAGAGAGAGAAAAAGAAGGAAAGAAAGAAAAGAGAAAGAAAAAAGAAGGGAGGAAATAAGGAAGGAAGGAAAGAAAGAGAAAGAAAAGACAGAGAGAGAAAAAAGAAAGAAAAAGAAAAAAGGAAGAAAAAGAAAGAAAAGAGAAGGAAGGAAGGAAGGAAGGAAGGAAGGAAGGAAGGAAGGAAGGAAGGAGACACACACAGAAATAGAGGAAGGGAGGAAGGAAGGAGAGAGACACACACAGAGAAATAGAGGAAGGAAGGAAGGAAGGAAGGAAGGAAAGAGAAAGAAAAGACAGAGAAAGAAAAAAGAAAGAAAAAGAGAAAAGGAAGAAAAAGAAAAGAGAAGGAAGGAAGGAAGGAAGGAAGGAAGGAAGGAAGGAAGGAGACACACACAGAAATAGAGGAAGGGAGGAAGGAAGGAGAGAGACACACACAGAGAAATAGAGGAAGGAAGGAAGGAAGGAAGGAAGGAAAGACAGAGAAAGAAAAAAGAAAGAAAAAGAGAAAAGGAAGAAAAAGAAAAGAGAAGGAAGGAAGGAGGGAGGGAGAGACACACACACAGAGAAATAGAGGAAGGAAGGAAGGAAGGGAGGGAGGGAGGGAGGAAGGAAGGAAGGAAGGAAGGAAGGAAGGAAGGAGGAAGGAAGGAAAGAGAAAGAAAAGACAGAGAAAGAAAAAAGAAAGAAAAAGAGAAAAGGAAGAAAAAGAAAAGAGAAGGAAGGAAGGAAGGAAGGAAGGAAGGAGAGAGACACACACAGAGAAATAGAGGAAGGGAGGAAGGGAGGAGAGAGACACACACAGAGAAATAGAGGAAGGAAGGAAGGAAGGAAGGAAGGAAAGACAGAGAAAGAAAAAAGAAAGAAAAAGAGAAAAGGAAGAAAAAGAAAAGAGAAGGAAGGAAGGA